GACCTGGAATTATTGATCAAAGAAACCCTCCACATCAAACAGCACTCTCCAACTCTGAATATGCAGTCTTCATTTAAATTATACATTTTTTAATATGTTCGTATTACTGATTTTCGTTTTTTTTCTCCAAGAAAACACAACGAAAAAAAAAGGTAAAATCAGTAATACGAAGTGGGGAGAAACTACAAATATAACGATAATTAAACAAATAAAACACTAAACAGTAATCACAGCAAATGAATACTTGTGTTGCCTAAAAACCAACAAAAACTAACAGTGAACTTAAATAATTTCCTTTTTTTCATTTACAAAAATAATAAGAATAAACTGTCTTATTTTTTATTGTAATTGTATGCAATGTTTATATTGTATATAATGGTTTCCTTTAATTAACAAAAAAGCATAATACAGAGGTCGCTTTAAAGTTCCCACTATTCCGTGCGATGGCGGGAACTTTGCAATAGTTAGATAAATTTAAGCTTTAGGCGGGGTATTACTATTAGCATATGAAGTTATCTTTCATAAAATAGAATTTTGTTGTTGGTCAGTTTATACGTCCTCATCATGGATAAAAGTTGCGACAATAATACTAGTAAAAAAAAAAAAGTTATTGTATCGGATGTCAACACTGAGCTGAATGTAATGAACAGTCCCCCTCTTAAAGATTTGCGAATGTATCCATGGAACTGGGGTGAAGGTGCCAACGAGATTCAACTGAGTCCAGGAAACTCGTGTTCCCCCGAGCTTTTAAGTTCACCCGAAAGTCGAGGTAATATTAACGTAGGCCTGACGAAAACAAACAACTCCCGAAAACAGCAGAAAGAAGTTGGTCGGCGGGGAAGGCCACGATTAGATACACTGACAAATCTTATACTCGAAGGATCGTCATCCAGAAGCTCTATTAAATGTCATGTATGTAACAGGGTATTTCCCCGTGGGAAATCTCTTCAAGCCCACTTACGGACACACACAGGTTAGTATAAAAGTAGGAATACGAAGAACAGGCACGACTTTTTTACAATCGTATAACTTATTATGTTATTACTGATGAAAGGTTTAGCACAAACTAAGGATATCCAAATATGTTCAAGTAGATTTCAAATAGCTGATTATTTTTCTTAAGGAGTAAAAAGCACTATTTTAAAATCTAGTTTTAATTACTACTTATAAGTTGTATAGCAAAGATCAGCTTATTATCGTGGTAATTAATAAAGCCAAATGCATAATTCCTAATCGTAAGCAAAAATGTTGTTAAAAATAAAAGCTCCAAAGTTTTTTAAATTACTGTTGGTGTTAAACTTAATTCATTTCAAATTTTTATTTTAGTTTAGTGGTTTGAGCAGCCTAGATGGACCAACATTTTCCTTTTCCTTCAATTTTGTTACTTGAGATGTTGAGGATAGCATATAACTTGGGCTTAATGTTGTTTCTCTTTCTTATATGAAATTAAGTAAACATTTTTTTATTTTGTAACTGTAAGTGTTGGAAATTTCAGTTTTCTGTGTAAAGAATGTTAAAGAGTATTTGATGTGGAAACAGACTAATATTGAATTGCAAATTAATGATTTATTTGGGATAAATAGTTTTGTATTAAGACATAACTTTCGTGGCAAGTATGTGTGAAACAAACTATTCCTGTATCTGCAGTGTAATTATTTTCTAAAGATAAAAGGAAAAATATTTAAAGAGTGTTCAGTTCACAAAACATTCAGCCACTTGAAGAGAAATTAATTTCTCAATGTTAAAATTCTTTCTTGAAAATATCAATATTGAATTCCTAACTTTACACATATTTGGAAATAATTTACTGTAACACTACCATGTTCACAAAGATGAAATTATAGTGGACAACTTACCACAGTTATAAAACTTTGAAACCAAAGAACTTCAGCATGGAATTGTTACTGTGGTATTATACGGTACTGATAATATTAACTTCTATGATGTACATTAAAATCTTTCAGGTGAGCGACCATACATTTGTAAGTTTCTGAAGTGTGGAAAAGCTTTTGCCCAGAGTGGTCAGCTGAAGACGCACCAGAGACTTCACACTGGAGAAAAACCATTTTGCTGTTCTGCAGCTGGTAAGTGCTGTGGTCTGAATTGACAGAAACCTAAAATATACCAGTAATTTTGGCTCAACAGATTTCTGTTATGGGTCACAGAAATAATTTTCCAAACAAAAAAAAAATCCTGGAAACCAGAATTGTTATGCTTACTTGTTTGTAAACATAACATACAAATAACAAGAGACCAGTTGGGTTTTCAATATTGAAAACATTCTTTGAAATTCTCTCTACAATCACCCATGAAAACAAGGAAAAATTTAAACCCACTTAGTTCTATGAATACTCTTCCTAAACAACCTAAACCCACTTTTTATTATTAAAGGAAATTGTTGATTGTCCCCTTTAAAGAAACTCCTGAAAAACACTGGCCTCCACAACTCATCTCCAAATTTTTCCATGATAATTACAGGTTTTTTTAATCTGTTCACAAGTTGTTCTTATAATTGTTATTAAATCTAAAGTGTAAAATAATTTGACCAAAAATGAAGTAAAATTTTGTTCTTACAGTTACATCAAATGATTTCCAAAATTCACATCTAAAAGATGCAATGTAAGGCATGAGATATTTTTTTTTCTAATTACCTTGCTGTTAAAAATGTGGATTATTTATCATTTCACGTTTTATTTGTAACAGTAACTTAGCTAGAATTTTTCATTATTTTATTCCACAGATGGATGCTTGCTAGAATAAACTCATCTTTAAAGAAGTTGTGTGTATTGAAACATTATTTGCCCATGATTTTTAATGTCTGATTAATTATCTTAAACTGTTGAAATTTTTCTAAATTTTAATTGTATTTTTCAAAAAATAAATCTTCCCTCTCTTCTCCCATCCTCGAAGGATGTACAAGCCGGTTCACCCACGCCAACCGTCATTGTTCTCATCACCCTTGGGCAGTACTTCAGAGAGAACAGTCTACTTCCCAACAGCTTAGAATACCGTCACTATACAGTGATGAAAACAGTCACAAGCAAGACATCAGGTATTTTCGAAGTATTTGAATAGAAATTAAAACAATTCTTTTCTTGTCAACTCTGAAAGATTCTAGTTTATGAAACTTCGATTGAATACGAAAACTCACTCAATGCTAATTTTTTTGTAGTTTGAATATTATAAACTAACTTTCTGAGATATTTTAAAATGTCCATATTAAAGATGTTTTTTGGTATTATGGTGTTCTTAATATTCATTATTTTGTTGTTCAACAAATTTTAGATATTAAGTCTGTCTGGGAACAAACTTGATTTAGTGAAAAGCCTGGAGAAGTTACAATTAATAAGTATTCAAAGTTCACATAAAACATTTGTTGTTACACAAAGAAAAGTAGTTACTAGCTAAAAAAACGAAAATTATTTATAGACTTTACTGATTGGCTGCTTTATAAATGTTATGAATGTTGGTAATTTTTCTTTGTTATTTTGAAATACTTTTTTGGTTCTTACCCCAAAGGTAATAAGATATAAACGATGTAAGTAACACCATAGCTGTGACAAAACAGAAGTGGTTTTTATGTAAATTATTGGTCATCTAGTGTCTGCTTTTTATATAGATGTTTCACATAATGTTGTCTAACTTGTCACTATTAAGTTAATGACAATTGGTCATCTA